CCAGCGGCCGCCCCGAGGGTCCCCGCTGCCCCCTTCCCCAGGGCGCGTCGCCAGCAGACCAGGTCGACCTCGGCAACAGGGGCGCGCGGCAGCTCGCGGGCGGAGCCGACGGCCGACCCCGCGCCCCCCCCCCTGAGTTGATTGGATGGCCTCCCTAGTGTCACCCCCCCGGCATGCCCCCGCCCGAAAGCGATGGCCTTCTCTGCAGGCGGCCAGACACATCCACCCCGACAAAGCGCCCGGGGTTGCCGACAACACCATAGTGCACGTCGTGGTGACGTTCGTCCGAGCAGTCTCCCTAGACGTCGACGAGCGCTGAAGGACATGGACGACGAGGAACGCCGATTCCGCGCTGCGCCAGCCCAGCGAGGCATGGGCCCCCTCTCGGACCCCGGAGCTTGGTCCGAGGCATGCTGTCGGGAGCTCCTGCTTTCCACCTATGGCGACGCCATCCCAGCGCCTGGGATCCCGACGGGGGTCCATTGGGGCGGTGAGCGCGCCACCCCGGCCCTCACGGTCAACCGCCTGCACCAGCAGACCCCCCATGCCCCTGCCACTTCTCAGGTCTCCGCCAGCTCGCGCAAGGAGCCTGCCGAGTGGGGCGCATGCCGCAACAAGCACGGAGTCAAGGGGGATCGCGTCGCCTCAGCACCCGCCCGCGCGGGACTTCCGCATAACCGCGGGAAAGATGAGGCTATAGCCCTCGCGGAAGCCCCCCCAGCGACCTCCCGCGGGCAGCTGCTGCCACCCCTTCAGATGCAGCGCCCAAGGGAGGATCGGTAACCCAGCGCCCCAGCGGCAGCTCCCCGCACGCGGATCAACCCAGACTGCGCCCCCCCCCCCCCCCCCCCCCAGCGCCGCCGAGGCCAGGCGCGGAGCGGCGTGCCCACAGCCAATGCCCCATCTCCTCTGGGCGCGGAACTGAACCAGTCCGCGCCAGTGGCCAAGACGGGCGCACTGACTCGTCCGACGTCTCCCCTGGGGCTCGGCGGTGCAGGGCAGGGGGGGGCCCCCGTCCCCACTCCGCCTCTCGCGAGCCCTCCCGCAAATGCTCCTCTGCGAGTGGAGGCGCCCCCCCGGGAAGTCCTGCCAGCGGGCGTTCCGGGGGGGGGCGCAGAGCTGGCGGCCGGCGGGCCCTCCTTCCACCAGCCCCGTTCAAATTGAGCCCCCACTGCCAGTCCAGCTTTATTCCAGCGCATCGCCGACCGAAGAGGATGAGCCAGCGCGCGAAACCCCCGGGCCGGCGAACAGCGCAGCCCGGGCGCGCCCCAAAGGTGGCGCGGCCGAGGCTCAGCGGAGACCACCCCGTCCTGGAGGCGGGAGGCGGCGCCGCGCCACGCGCCCCCCTTCGCGCTGCCCGCGCATCAGTCGGACAGGGATGGCGGGCTCTACATCAAGCCGAGGCACCAGGTAACCTGAGCACCTACTTGGAACCACCGAGACAACGCAATGGAGGACTGGAGAGCGGTGATCAACCGCCTCAAGAAAGAATCTGGCCCCATGCTCACCATCGGGTGGAGCGCCGTTCGCGATCCGGAGTCTGGGCCCCGCTCCGCCGAAGACCCGCAGCGTCGCGACCTCGAATTCTGCCGAGGCTTCGTTGAAGGCCTCAGCGAGGTCAACTATGACTATGACGCGCGCAGGCTCTGCTGGGATAAAGGCATACACGTCGACTAGGACGCTGAGCGGTATCGCGAATTTGACGAGGAGAAGCAGAACTCTAAATTCGCGAAAGGCAAAGGGAAGGGCGCCCCGCCGCGCGGGAAAGGGAGGCGGCCATCGGGCTCCTCGCGGCCCGGCAACGACCTTCCCCGCCCGCGCGGGTCAGCTTCCAGCGGCCACCGCCAGCAACTCTCAGCAGCCACCCTGCGACCTCGCCTTGTGCTGAGCGTGACACCCCGGCCCTGGCAGCGGCCTCTCTAGCCGCTGCCCTCCCCTGCCCTCGCGGCTGCTCGCGTCGCGCACGTATTCGGCGCCCCCCCGCGGGCCCCCAACCCGTGCTCGGGGCCTGCCCGCTGCCTTTCCTCCTTGCCCTCGTGTCTGCCTCCCATCGCGCACTTGCTCGGCGCCCCCCCGCGAGCCCCCCCCGCCCGCGGCTGGCCCTCTTCTCGCGCTCGTGCGCGAGGCCCGCCCGCGCCTGAGCCGGCGCGCGGCAGGCTCCCATGGTGGCCACCCCCTGCGGGTCGGCCCCGTCGCTGCTGGCTGGTCTTGCCGCCCGCTCGCGACCTGCGCGCCGCCCCCTTAGGGCGCCCTGCTCTGCCTCCGCCCCCTGCTCTGCCTCCGCCCTTTGCATCTTGGGGCGCTGGCCTGCTGCAGGTTTTGTCCGGGCCCTGCCTGGGGCACCCCGCGGCCCCTGCCGTGCTTCGCCGGCTGGGCGGCGCTCGCGTTGGCGCTTGCGCCCTCCCTCTGGTTGGTTTTCTGGCCCCCCCCCCAGCGCCGGCTTCCGGTGTCTGGCCGCCGTCGCTTCCTAGTGAATTCGCTCGCGTCGGCGGCTACTCAG